ACCCGCGGGCTCAGGCAATCCGCTCACCTCAGCCTCCCAAAGGCGCGGCATTACAGGTTGAGCCACTGAGCCCGGCTTCAGCCTGGCCTTTGACCCCTGAAATTTCAGGGTGGAGGCAGACCAGAGGAGACAGCTCAGAATTGCCCTGGGGGCCCCCTTGAGAGACACCTGCCATCTGGTCCCTACCCCTCTGCAGGCAGACCTGGCCCTGCCTGCCACCTGTGGCTGAGCTCCACAGACCATCTGGTCGCCTCCCTGACATAAGAGAATGGGAAGCTCCCTCTGCATTCCTTGGGCCACCTCGCAGCAGAGTCCAGATCCCAGGACCACCCATTCCAGGCCTCCTTCATCCTATCCCCTTTTCCTAGACTGAAAACTAAGGCCTTGGGAGGGGCTGCGATAGTCAAAGTCACATAGCAAGACAGTGACTCTGGAGGGGAATTTCCTGCTGCGGAGTAAGTGCTGGTAACCGAGTTCCCAGCTCAGTTGACCCCCTTCCTAGTTGACCCCCTTCCCTGGCTCCTGCATGATGGGGGAAGACACCCAGAAAGTCTTATCTCCTCCAGAGGGAGGAAAGGCGACACCCTGGAGACCCAGGCTCTACAACCGGGGTGGGGGAAGAATTCCAGGAAAACATAAATCGATGGGGGGATGGGACGTTGGGCTCCAAGGGGCAGATTTGGGAGTCGTAGGCTGGGAGAAGAGTTGCGGTCTGAGCCAAAGTGTTTGGGGCCCCACTATCCGGCCGGGTGGGAGGTAGGGAAAGGTTCGGAGTTCCGGGCCGCAAGGTTGGGTGCCTCAGGCTTCCACAGCGGATGCGCGGGCATCCCGGGGCAGGGAAACGGGAGGGTCCCAGGGGCGGGGGGCGGGGGACAAGGAAGGAGATCCAGGGGGCGAAACGCGCGGTGGTCCCACGGCTATTGGGCCGCAGGCTCGGGGGCGGTGGTGCCGGGGTTGGAGGCCGGCGCACTCACCTCTACCCGGGCCCGGGCCAGGCCGCGTAGACGCTTCCAGTCCGGCCGGTAGGTGGCGGCGGCTGTGGCTGTGGCCA